AATAAATTGGGAAGTCACTGCAGTCCGTGGATGTAATAAAGTCTGCAAACTTTTTGCGTCTGAGTGTATCAGTGATCCGCTGCAACTGGACGTCAGCTTGCTGGTAGATTATAACACAAGTATGCATAACAAAAGATAATGGAGTAGGCTTGTCTTATATGGTGCTGATAAAAATGTGATTTCAAAGAAGAAATGAAAACTATGGAGATATAATTGTATATCTTCTGACATCTTCTGTGGTTTACACAATTTGTATTAGGTAGGCTTAATGAATGATGTCATACTTCTCCTTTAGTCGACTCTAGTGGCGCCCACGGGAAGAGGGTTACTCGCTGTAGGAGACCAATTCACTTAAATCTACTCGTAAATACTGAGGTTGAATTAACTTGAAAACCTAGCAGTAACACTGATCTTTACTGTGCTGAACCACCTGTTAATATAATCATATCAGCATTATTTCCTGAATGGGATTTATTAAATGGGATGTATTTCAAGTTACACAATTTACAAAAACCCCAAACCCAACAATCCTCATATTTCTACTTTCGAGGAAAAAAATCTGATGAAACATTTTTGGGAAATAAAATTTACGTGCCCCAGATATGCAGATTTATGATAAATGTAATTCACATCGGAGATTAAATAACACCGTTGAAGAGAATAGTATCAGGTGGCAAAATTGCGGGAAACGTAGGTATGATCCAAAAATTGCAGAGAGCAAAACAAATATTGTGTACAACTGGCACAACGAAAGATTATGACGCAACATTTTTTTAAATGCTGTGTTTCTTCTTTGAATTCAAAACGATCCTCAAATATCGTTCGGTCTAAACGATTCAATTTGTATTAACAATAAGTTCATGAATACACAAAATGAAACCATTAAAAGATTACTCTAAAAAAGGTCCGGTTGTAGCGTAAAAATACTCATAAACACAAGGCAGCTAGCTTTAGTAGGATCGCTAAGTACCTATGTTTTCTTGGAAGTTTTAGTTCATTTCTTTAAATTTTATATTGAGGAGAAAAGTACTAAAACTACATTTAAAGATATGAAGTTGGTATGAAGACTGAAAAATTGTTCAGCAGTAGAGAACTAATTATTCCTGAAAGAGGCTTTGTCTTTCAGCAACAGACTGAAATTCATACGGCAAAGCTGCAGGCAAAACCTGGTAATATTAATCATAAATAGAGTTTAAATACCGACTATGAATACCCTATCATTATTTAACATGCGTAATAGAACAGAACCCTTACTGTTCGCATGTATATTATATCCAAAGGCCGTGAGGGTCAAAGCACCCCATTCAAGCCGTTTGTGCCAATGATACTATAAATAAAAACTCGATATCTGAAATGTAAACGTTCTTGACAGTTGTAAAAACATGTCATTATACTGAGAAATCGATCATTTTCTTGGTTTCATAAACTTGCTGGGCTCAATCCATTTGGGAACCTAAATATGTAAGGTTATGTGAGCTTTTTGATTTAGTTAGGACATTTTAGCTAAGAATCGTCACGGTTGTTGATAAAAAAATTAAGGAAAAACGAAGGATGTAATTATCTCTTATGTTAACCTGTCGTCAGTCCCATACACCATAACAAATGCCAAAATCGTAAGATTTGTTGCAACCAGCATATTAAGCACCTCACTTCCAAATCGATTAATACTTATCCGTTACTAAGTGGATAATTGATCAAATAGATCTTGGAGCGCAAATGTCAATTGCGTCGATGCCCCCGGGATGCGATCTTAAGCGGTTACTAAGCGCTCCCGGGGGAGGCTGCGGAGTTATTACGTCTCCACAATCGGATAAATGGCTAGAAACACTCGATAGGCCATACAAAAGATAAAGTTATAACGCTTATCCGATTTTACAGCTTTCCATAAACTTTGGAGGTTTCGTTCCGTAAAAGACTGTGGTTTTTTGATGATTTTTTGATTGCGCAAGATTGTAAATGTATTAAAATAGGTAGGTAAGTATTAACTATTCATAAGAATCCAATGCACATACTAGTACAGAGGGCAATAAGTAATATGAAGTTTGTGCCGGTATGCACAATACTTAATCTCTTCATATCTTATCTGGATCACGTTCACAGTGTCAGCACATTTATCACGTATAGTGCTGATGCTGTGACGTCATTTACCTTTGATCTTTATCGTATAAATAGTCGCGCAGTTCACATTAATAAACAGATTAATATCAGAGACTAACTACAACCCGTGTCTCATTCATACGGTCCCCCAACATGGCACAAAGTTCATAGAAAAAAGCAATTATTGACGAAACAAAACACACAGCAGCTTGTTTTGACTGTACACACAACTCTAGTCATTCACGGCAAAGTTTAAAACACACACATTATCATTAGTTCAAATTCGAGTCTAGCTCGTTTCAATGAATTTTGAACGGAATGGGAATATAGTGAAAATAAACAAAACTACTTCATAATGAATGCAAACAACCACAGGAATCGACGGTCTGAAGCGGCGGCAAGCAAACTTGGAAGCCCCGCTTCGAACCGAGAGTCAATATTAAGAGTAGCTAGTTTCAAATCTTTTCACTTAAATATTACCTTTAAAATCGTTAAGTAAATAGCACCCATTTTATGAAAAAATGAGATTCAGAGAAATCTGTGAGCTTACTATATTGTACCTAAAATGTACTCCGTTTTTAAATAAAAACATTGCCGAATGTTTTTTAGATAAACAAACAAAAATTTTGTCTGATTGGTTTAACTCCAAAAAGGATTGGTTAAAAAAATCATCGGGGAAACTTCTTTATATGGGCTGGCAGTTTTAAATGTGTGCAAAAGGATTTGAGACCTAGTTTTCCGGATTTTCGAATGGGGTCGAACAGGAATAGAGCTGTTCCTGGTCGACCCCATTCGAAAATCCGTTTTTTGGAGTGCGTCACCGAGACCTAGATTCGAGAGCGAAAATCTGGCTAACTATTGACACTTTAACGGGAAAACTCAAATTGAATTAAAAAACGGGAAAAAATACGAACGACAAAAATACCCACACTAAGTAATGTGTGTGTATCTATTTGAAGAAAAATATTATACTGTCACATACAATTCTGTCTAGCTAAGAAACTACATCTAAAGTGTATTTTTGTGCAAAACTACTTAATAATAAAACAAAGGCTCTTAATATTAACGAACTAAAAATCTTTAGTACTACAGAGCACAACATAATATCTAAGTGGTTACCAAAGTTCAAGAGACAAGTATAGATAGATTTATACAGAATACTAGACGCCGACTATATGTAGTTTGTTTTTTATTATCTAATCAAAAATCGCGGTTTAAATACGTGCTAATTTGTATCTAGGTATACTCTGACGTTGTAGACTGTACATGAAGATCGATTTTATCTGGATTGGAAGTAGCGATAATGGGTGAAAATAGGCTAAGGGTTAATCGTTTAGTGACCTTATACACAGTGTTTGCTACACAGTATAAGTTTACGTAATTAGTCGAGCGCGTTTAATCTCTTAAGTGCGATCAAAGAAAGCTAAGGCTAAATAAATGTTTCCCGACACATCGTCCTTTAGGCGCCCTACACACCGACGCCGACATAGCGGCGGCTTGGCGGCGACATAGTAAAAAGGAATAGTAAAAAACCTTTCAATACTAGTGTTTCGTTTTACAAGACTTTCTTTGACTAATTTCACACATAGAAACAAGCGAGTAGCAAGCGCATCACACCACATTAGGCAGGTCATGGCTTTACAGATTGTGGACTTTTGAATACTGATATCACAGACAAGATTTCTGTGTTCAAGTGCTTTCACTTAGGTACTTACGAATTGCTTTTTTTTATTTTATTTCTATATTCTATATTATTTCTTGTTGTCATATCAAATTTTAAGAAATTTTTTTATAGAAGTATTTGTGTTTGTTTAATATTTAGGTACTAAATATAATTTAAAGATGTTCTACTTTTCCCTCGTGCAGTGGTTTCAACGCCATGGTTCAAACATAATTTAAGGCGACGGCCTTTCAAATGATGCCGCCTACATGTGTCGATGTGTACGCGGCCTTAATGTGGATCAACAGATTTGAGCAAGCCTTTAATGGAGAAATAATTATTGAACATGACGCTAGATCGACTGTTGAACATATTTTGACAGTATTAAACTTAATACGCGTTAGAAGTCATAATGCTGAAGATATAGTTCCAAAATACTGAACTGTCCTATCCATGACATTGACAGCGGGGCGCCACCGTCAATACCGGATTGCTGGTTCCGATTTTTGCCATGTTGGAAACCATATAGTTGAACGATGGTAGCGCCCCCCTGTCATTGAGTTTGGCGGTACAGTTCAGCGTGGGTCATCTATATAGGTATAGTATTAACTTTTACTCCGATTTTATCGTTCTATTATACAAAGGTATTTGTTACTTTGATATTAACCCATCAATATCCAAGCTGTCGCATATGACCGCGTAGCAATTTGATTGTCTATTGTGTCTCGATTCGCGGCTTGAAGCTTAATCCTATCAGTTAAAAGAAAATACTACTAATACCTACCTGTATCTCTCGGATAAACATTGTTTAGTTACTTTATCGGATAAATATAATCATATTTATTTTTACTACACTACTATTTTATAAAACACGTGCATTAAAGTGGTACTTACCCAGAATAAGTCCTCATGAATGAACGTTCTCGCAAACGTAGGTGTACAGAGATAACACCAATATAGTTTCCACTTATTACAGCATTAAATACCTACGTTAGTGTTGATATTAAATAACATGGCGATTCGACTTGGTTTTCCACTACAACGATTAGCTGAAATAACCTACGGAGCGTAAATTCGTAAGACGCGTCGTGTCTTATTAATTTCTATTTTAATTTAACTTTGAGTTACTAATGCTATAAGTTTGAGCAATAACTGTCCAACAATCCAACACCTCAGCCACATTTACACTCCGTGCGTTAAATAACAACGAAAGCGACAACATACAATAAAATAGAAACATTACCTCCAGACACGGTCTCTAGCGTAAAGGCGTTGAAGCGCCACTGGACTGATTGGTTCAGGATGCACTGCAACAGAAGCAGAACAATTATTACAATACACATAAGGTGCACATTTACTTGTCGCCTGGTCATTCGCGGGGCAAACAAAAACAAAACTAGGCAAAGCGTCAGGTCTTACACCTTCAAAATAAAATGCAGGGGAGGTGTAATCAGAACAACCCGCGAAGATAAATAATGTCATAGGACTGCTCAGCAATTGCTGTCAATCACCTCTGGCTCATAAAGAAAAACAAGTGAGAGACGAAAGACCGCAAGTGCCGCATTTTCCAAGTTCATAGTTTATCTGCGCGGAGGCATACCCAATTCTTGGCCGTTTGTCAATGTCCACCGCACAAGGAAGGAATCTTCACGTCTGCCGCTCACAACAACAGCTCACGCACACACACAAAGCATTTCCTCTTAATGCAGTAAACATCAGCAATCGCAATCTATTTATAGATATTTTATTATTTCGAAGGCCAGCTAATCGGGTTAATTGGAGATAGGAAATGATTCGCCGTCTTGTCATCATACACCTCCCGGTCAACACATAAACCTCTAACTTTACGATGGAGTTATGCATATAATTTCGCCGTGGCGTCAGCGGCCAGAGCTGAGCACTCTTTCATACATAGTATTAGTATTAATCTGTTCATTCGCTCGGCACGTCCTTGCTTGAACGACTCGGAACGCATAGCGATATCACAATATGTCACAAGAATATACCTACAAATAGTGCGTGTGAACGCCGCGTGAATACAAATAAATGGCATTTAAATTTGTGGCGGGGCTTGGAACAATGCGTCGTAGTGAAGGACTGCGGAATGACCGTGGAGAGCTGAGTTAGCGGGCGTGCACACTGCGCATCTCGCAGGGCGCTCACTCGATGCGTTGGCCAAACCAATTTGGACACAAACACCGTGGACTAACGTGCACGTTGCCATTCAACAACTTTTTAATCATATGGAAATGGAACGAAATGAGATGTTTTCGGACATCCGGATAGTGATTTTCAAGACATCAAGTGACTGCCATGTATACGGCCCGATTACACACTGAACTACCGAATTAGCGCAATAGGGAACTGGACACTATTTGATAATATGTAATTCCAAGATATTTCTTATAAAAGATCCATAGGATTACATTTTATTCTATTCCATTGAAATCAACGAATGATTTGATTCGTTGACTTCATAAGCTTCAAACTTGAGTATTTTTACCCAAACAATCGAGTAAATAGTGCTTTATACCCTCTCAAAATGGTACAAATTGATATCCAGTACCCTATTATCACAGAAACGTAAGCGATAAGCGAACAGATGTAGTACATACTCAGTGTGTTTTGGCCAACCTTTTATTTTCGCCAAGAAAGACCTTTAAAAATATCAGCACCATGTTTCCAAAATCGATCGCTCCCAGCGTTTGTTTACCAAATTGAGGCTTTACATTTCACGCTCGTACGGGGTGGTGTTGGCGATTGTTTTGTCTTGGCGAAAATAAAAGACGGGCAGGGCCGCATGTCTGACACTTACCTGCACCTGCCCGAACTGGATGTCGTCGAGGAGAGCAGTCTCCTGGTTGAGAGAGCGAGTCAGCAGCCGTTTTTTGCGACGCTTGTGTATAGTGAAGAAGCGTCCGACGCAGATGTGGTTTGCAACCATGGCGCATATCTCGCTGTCTATGTCCGGAGGCCCAGGCTCTGGCTCCACTTCGGCTACTGCAACAAACAGAAAAAGACGTTGAGATATTTCATTAAGGAATTAATTCTTCGCCTCATGCATTTTTATTCCAACTATCAACTAACTTCTTACGATCAGCAGTATCAATCAAACTGATAGCGCAGAATGGACTTACAATGTGCAGAATGGACGTAAAACAAAACTGACTAGGTATACCATTCAGATTTCATCAGTTTAAAATCGGTCGTCATTAGATGCACAACGTCATTCAAATCGTTCATTAATGTCAATAAGTTACGAAGCTTTCTTTATGCCGTCATATGAATCCCAAGAGCACAAATTAAAATGAAGGTCTAACCAATAATGATCGATTGCTTTTTATTAAAACCACCTGATTGGGCTTTGATGAATTTTTACTTTAGTCTGCGAGGCTCATGATGAAATTCAGTAAAGCGTAGTACTAAATCTTCAGTGTATTTATAGAACATTTTGCCAAACAAACCATTTCTTTTACATCATAACTAATGTAATGCAATTCTGCTCAGAAAGCGTGCTTATCTGCGAGAGATCCGTTTTTCATCATACTCAATACGTTCGAATAAGTCTTAGGCTTCTAGAAAGATACAACGCCCATTTCATCGTACGTGCGATCGAACAAATCAGCGACTCTTAGCAAAAGGTCAGTCCACAAAGGGTTCATCCTTAAACCGCCACGGAAAATCCTACAAAACTATTTGTACATTGTGTAAACTCCGTAAACTTTATGGGTTTGCAAAGGCATAAATCTTCGAGGTATTTTTCTCGTCGCAAATAAACGTCTGGTGTAAAGGCCATTTGAGTACTACGTCGCATTCATGTTATCAACAACAATTTATTTATTAGAGCCCGTGCACGCAAGTTAAGCTGTTAGGTACCTATTAGATAATGTTTTATGCTTAGGACGTGTAGTGTAACCGGTATGCGGTAACGACGAGGTTATCGTGAGCTGAAGGAGTGACCACATGATGCGCCGGAGCGTGGATAGGGTTACCATCTGTCTGGACCAGTCCGGACAGTGACCGACTTTACGCTGAAAACAGACACGTTGTGTCATTTTTCCTAAAATGTCAGGTTTCAGAATTTTAAGACGGTAACACCGCAAGAAGGGTAATCGGATTTTGTGCGGAGGAGTGCTTCAGACACATTTTTCCGCCGTTTCTGACTGGCAGCCCGCCCTGGCCAGAATACTCGTCGTTTGCCTGCGCTTGGCACTGGTGCGTCATGAATGTAATAGATGTCGCTTTGCGTTTCATTTGGTGCAAAATTACTCCATCTCGTAGTACTTTATATGCACTTAATGCACTTCGGACTCTACTATGTAATATTATGCATAATAAAATGCTTTTGTCATCTATGTCTTGCATATAGATGTGTTATCTTGTAATTTTATTGCAATTGTAACCAAAGGGTTATGATGTGGCCTGTAACAAGTTTCGTTATATTTGTTTCGTCTGTCTTAATCAAATATGCTATTTCCATCATAAATGATAGAGATGGATTGAGCATTTGTATCAGGGCACTTTCTCTCACATGATGAGTAGCTTACCAATTTCAGGACTTTTTTCTTTCGTTCTTCTTATATTCCCTTAAGAATCACATTTTAAAAGGCGAACAAATCAAATCGGGCTAGGTAAAGACTGATTCGATTAGGTATCGATTATGTAATGTAGTCAGATCGCATCATTCCCGCGCATTAATGACTCGGCTCTCCGTTTACATTGGCTTGTTTGCAAGCTGCCGATCAGACGACATCCGATGTCCGTCGACCCGCCGCCCGGCGCTGACCGAATTAGTTATCTGCCAAATTGGACGCCGACTGTCCACGGTTAGTGTAACTGACCTATAGACGCGGTTTAGGCACGTTTGTTTAGCCCTACATGGAAACGTATAACTTTCTCTCTAAAACACGTGATAATATAGGTAGACGCGGTTTAAGTTTTCAGTACTAGTAAGTAAGTTTGTTTTAAAGACAGATCATCTTTCTCTGAAGTGATTAGAAGTTAAGTTAATGAGTTAATTTCAGAAGTTTTATTAAGTAAGCACGCTTTTACCGATACTAAACAGTTATTTCAACAGTAAGGTAAAATGAATACCCTATTATTCCAAGGCTCTGATCCACTTGCATGAATCAATCATAACCCCCTTCCAGAGTGACTTGACGCATTCGAGCTAGAGGTGGGCGCCACGCCGGCGCGCCGCCGCCGCCGCGAATTTTTTCACGCCGCCGCCGCCGACGACCAGCTGTCGGCGCGCCGATACTGATATTGTACCAACTATTTGCAATTAATTCCTTTCCTATACTATACTTTCTGGATTTGTGTTTCGAACGCAGAAGAAGTAACTAAATATTTATTCTTTAATGCCATATAAATTGGTACACAAGGCGAAGTAAATGCCGTTGATATACTAATAAATTGATTGAATAACTTAATAATAACTATATTAACAGTTAATCCAGTACATCATTCAAGTTGCTGCTTGGTCTAGTAAATAATTGATCGCGAGAGGCGCCGCTCCCTCTTGCTGTCAAGAAAAAAATCGGAGCCTTCGTCTGGCATGACTATACTTTAAGAGAATCACTCACACAGAGAATGCAAATGGGAACCACAAACTGCAACAAAGTACATCCCTCAAAGTGTTCTCCGCCTATTAGGTTCGGTAATACATGAGTGCGAACTGACAAGAAAAATCTCAGACCTTTGCTACATGACAAGCCGGTTTATTAAACCCAACGACACTTCAATTCAAGAAATAAGATCAAGTATTGAACTTGATCCGAGACTTGCAGCTATGCCTGCCCTTAATTCCTACTGATAATGATGATTCTTTCGACCGATTTTGGTCATAGTGACCACTTCGTTCGACTTAGCTGTCTTAGCGGCGCTGGTGCGCCCGAAGATAGCTTACATAGCCGATCTTTGCGGCAAACTCCTCGCACATTGAGAGTATCTGAGCACGCCGCCAACATAATTATAGTGAATAGCGGCAGATGGACGAGATTTGCATCATCGCGTTTCGCGTCGAGTTCAGGTGTGCGCTGCACTTTGAACTTGCGGACTCGCCTCTTTACAATCTCCCGTCATAGGCGCTATGCTCCCAAACCTTCCCATTGTGATTTGAGAGGGCCCATTTTGCATCTTTTCATATGCTGCTTCTGGACATCTTTGTACCTCTCTGAGTTGACCGCATGTTTCTGCTTACCCTCCTCAAATTAAAAATAGAAGATTGATTCCTACTACGCTAAGAGAGGACGAAAGACGCAGGAGGACCAAAGTGAATCATAGAACATAGCCCGTAGAATCGCTAAAATCGCTAAAAGTGGGCGGGGCACATAGCTCGTAGAGCTGATGGCCACTGGGGCAGGAAAGTTCTTGAGTGGCAACCACGAGCCGGAAGACGTAGCGTAGGCAGGCCTCCCACTAGCTGGACCGACGATATGGTGAAGGTCGCGGGAGGTACCTGGATGCGAGCGGCGCAGGACCAGTCTTTGGGGAAGGCCTTTGTCCAGCAGTGGACGTCTTTCGGCTGAAACGAATGAACTAACGCTAAAAGAGTTGACTAAGCTAAAGAAATAGCCAAAATAGACTCTCGTAAAGCACCTTCATTTGATCTGATCACCATGCAGTCCATGTTCTTGACAATGACATAATGAGTGAGATCCTCACAAGTCTCTTAACATTGGAAATGATCCATAAGCCTGGCAAGTCACCTTACGAAATCTCCTCCTATTGCTCAATTAATCTGACATTTGTATTTGTTAAAATTATAGGAAAGGTTCATTCTTGCTCGTTTATTCCCTGGCCTAATGTAATATAGTATACCCGACGATAAATTTTGGCAGAAACCATACCAACCATAATCAGTACAATGTTTGAAAAAGAAAGAACCCTGTAAGGCTGCTTTCGCTGCGGCTTCAGCTGGGTTTAGCATAAAGGATTACTCTATGAAATTAAAAAGTACCTTCCAGCACACTTCTACTACCTACTGAAGGAGTCTTATCTCAGTGACAGACAGTTTTAAATCAAACTCCGTGACAAAATCTTCTCTTTTTAGCTGCAGAGCTGGAGTACCCCAGGTCTCTGTACTTGGTCCGGAACTCTACAACATTTACTAGTATAGCAGCCCAGACACCAGAAAACTGCGGCTTTCCTTAAATATGTAACTGTGATCTTAAAGCGACTACACTGATACGAAGTCAGCTAAATGCCAATAATAATTGGCTGACCAAGTGGCGCATGTAGGTAAGCAAGCCCCGAAGTCTCACCATATTATCAATTAAGACGTCGTCAACTTATCTTCCGGCCAATTTCAAATCAAATCTCAAATATCTCTCGACACATTGCTGCAATCAACCTACTTTAAAAATCTGGACCGTAGAATGACATGGAAGGACCATAAATATAAATAAAACAGATCTGAACATAATATTATGGCATCTAACTTTGGTCGACCGACAGTCAGCTAATCCATCATTAACTGTGTGCTTCCAAAGAGCTCAAATATACATGCTAAGGGCACATTGGTACGCTCGCCTTTAGGAAATACACGAAAACCTGAGGTGGAATTGTGTAAAGCAATCGTAATCATTTGACGTAACGTACGATTATTCTGTCATACTCTTTGTTTAACTGACTTTATCGTACGTTATGAACTGTCAAATGATTACGATTGCCTTACACAATTCCACCTCTGATCTCAGCCAAACTTGCTATCCAAATATCAAAGTATCTATGATCAAGAGAGCTGATTTATTAGGGTAAACCACTGCTCTAGTAGCTCTACCGTGTCAAACTCCAACCAACTGCAAATCACCTGATTAGTCTTGACGACACATACTAAAAAAGCAGATTTAAAAAAAAATACCTAATTAATAAAGGTCAAACAAGGTCACGCCGCCGACGCCGCCGCCGCCGAAGTCAAAAAGTCGGCGCGCCGCCGCTGGCCAATTATATATCGGCGCCCACCTCTAATTCGAGCTCATGAGAGCACAAAGATCATG